GGCAGGTCGGGCAGACGTGGAGGTCTCACTAGTCCTGCGCCTAAGGGGGAGAGGGAGCCGATGGAGGGAGGCGGGGGACAGGCAAAGAGGGTGGAGAGGCCAGGAGAGCGGGCGCAGGCTGGAGAGAGAAAGCGAGAGGCACAGGAGACAGGAGCCAGGGGACAGCAGAGAGGGCAGAGCAAGAGGCTGGGGCAGAGAGACAGGCGGGACGGGGACGGGGACGGGCAGGGCCACCGGGGGGGGTTCTGGGGGTGCAGCCACACACCCGCTGCATGTCTGCTCTGTCCTCAGACGAAGCCCTCAACGGCAGAGCAGTGGGGAAGGGAGAGGCACCCCCGGCTCTGCAGGTGACAACCAGGGACACCGTGGAGGGCGCGCAGAGGCGCCCTGGGCAGTGGGGCAGCAGGTGCGAAGGCCCTGTGCCGGGAGGGGGCTCTGGGGAAGAGGAGCCACCCTGGCTTCTCCCAGGCGGGAGACACCCAGGACACGTGAGTGCACAGGACTCCCGTGGACTGGCCAGGTGGGCACTGGGAGCCAGGGCTGGGCAGGGCCAGCGGGCAGGAGGGCGGGCGGCCGCCGTCACTGGCTCCTGCAGGTCTGGGTGGGGTCGCCGGCCGCTTCCGGCGGGCAGGGGCTGCCTGACCCCGCCTCCCACACTTGGGGCGGTGGCCAGGAAGGAGCAGAGATGGCCGCTACACAAGCACAGGAAGGCAGCCCTGAATTAATCTGTCACTAAAGCTTGGCCGTGGCAGGCAAGTCATGATTTAGATGAATAATTGAAATGCTCCAATACATTTATTATCCCTTTAGTGCAAAAGTGGCAGAGAAAGACGAGGGGTAATTGAAAAAGCACGCACAAATCTCCAAGAGAAAGCCGACTCCTTATCACCGAGTAAACATTTCAGTCCTAATAAACAGGAGAGACACGCGTCAGGGCCCTGTCGATTCCCATCCTGATTTAGGGCCCGCCTCCCTTCTTACCACACAATCAGACAATGTTGTTTTTAAAATGTTATCAAGCCAGTAAATGATTCTCCAGGAGTGCAGAGAGCAGAGATACCTGGAGTCTGTAGGCCTGAGGGGCCCGCTGGAGGCCAGCTGGCTGTGCCAGCCCACACGTCCCCAGCACAGACACTTCCGTTGCTCTGTACCTGTTGAACTCCTATTCAACCCTCAGGGCCCAAGTCAAATGTCCCTTCTGGTGGGAAGCTTCCTTTCTAAACTGGGTCTCTTGAGGGTAGAGCCAAGTCCTGAGTCCCAGAATTGGGCACAGGGGGCCCCCCTCTCTGTCCATGCATGCTCAGAGGGGACCCCGGGAAGGAACAGGGGAGGAGGGGCTTCCCCAAGACTCATGTACTATAGAATCATCTAGTCTGACTGCAGGAGCCAGGAGGGCCCAGCTCAATAGTGTGGCAGGGCGCAGAGGATTGAGTCCTTTGACCCTACTGCCCTGAGCTTGGGGTTCCCTGCTGACTCCCTCCCTGCTTCCCAAAGGCAGAAATCCACACCAGCAGGGGCAGTGCACGAAAGCCCGAGAGGCCACCTCCTGAGACACAGACCCTGCTGGTGAACTGTCCCTCTGCCCATGCTGGGCGGGGCTCCCAGGTCAGGCCCAGAACCAGGATGCAGGTAATTACCCCTTCGAGGCTGTCCGGGGTGGGGGGCTGCGGTCTCCTCGAGCCCCATTCCTGGGAGAGTGCATTCTTGGGGGACATGTGTAAAGGGGGTGAGTACAGGGCAGGGAGGGGTGGGCAAGGCCAGGGCTGCCATGCAAGGAGCAGGCGGGCGGGTAGCAAAGTAGGGGGTGACAGTGTGGGGTAGAGAGGGCTCTGAACCCCTTCAGGGCTGGACTCAAGGGAAGAGGGAGGGACCTTGGGGACCACATGGGAAGATGGGGATCCACCTGGACAGGTAGGGCTGAAAGCTGGAGGGACCCAGAGTAGGGGAGCGAGGAGGGCAGAGGTCCAACATGGGGGTGCTCAGATCCAGCTCCACCCCAGCCCCTCCCACCAGCGAGCGAGAGCCCCGCCGGCCCCAGCCTCGCCCCACCCACTGCCCTCCTGCCCCCACCTGCTCCAGTCACATTAGCAGAGTGACAGCCCCAGCGAGCACTTGCGACGGCTCCATAAATCTCAGCCGGTGCTGAAAGGCCGGACTGCAGGCCCACTTCCCCCGGGGCCTGGCCCCCTCAGCCACCTCCGTGCCAGGCTGGCCGGGCTCTCGGAGCCGCTCAATCTCAGTGCCGCAGGCAGGGCCCAGGGTGCCCCTCACCATCTGGCCATAGCAGGTGCCTTTGACCTCTCAGGACGAGGTCACCGGGCCATCCAGGAGCCACTCCCTGCCCTGGTCGGCCAGTCTGCCCTGAACACGAAGCCTGTCCCGACTTTACCTGTAGTTTATACAGTCAGTCAACAACCAGCCATTGAGCACCTGCTGCAAGTCACGTGCCAGCCCCAGTTCCAGGTGCCCGGCCCTGCTGGGTTCCCAGTGGGAGACACACGAGCAAAGGGGCAATGGCTGCAACAGACGTGTCCCTTGTACGGCACATCAGGAGGGAGCTACTTGGAGAGGAAGAAGATCTGGAGCAGGGGCGCTCCCTGGAGGCGCAGTGGTTAAAGCTTGCTGCAGCACAAGTTTGATTCCCGGCAGGGAGCTGAGCCCCAGGGGCAGCAGGCCTCTCCTGGCCAGCCGCTGCCCGCTCAGCTGTGTATTTCAGCACATCCGCCTGTTCTGCTCCCCACTCTGTCTCTGGGGAGTCCTCTCACCCCTGCACCTCTGGCCTGTGCCCCAGTTCTGTGTGCATAAGTAAACAAATCTTTAAAAAAAAAAAAAGAGGCCCTCCCTGGTGGCTCAGCGGGTTAAAGCGCAGCACTGAGAAGCTAAAGCCACTTCCGCATGA